AGGCCATTCTTTGCCTCCTATCTTACCTAGCCTTAATCATTGAATGGGCATTGCTTCAGTCAAATTCAGACTTGGGAAAGACATTAGCTTAAAAAGGCCAGAGTCTCCCACTGAATCCAGGGCCATCTCCAGTCATCCTGATCTGTATTTTGCCACTGGGCCCAGATAACTACTAAAGAGAAAGTGATGCTGATGACTCAACCCTTGTTCACTGAATTCTAATTCACTTGTAAGTCATGGCATCACCATCCTGATGTCATAGTCCTCTTCGAGAATGAAGGAGAGACAACAGCAACAAGGATCATTGTACTGGTGAGAATTGCTGAATTATTCATAGTTGATCATCACTTAGTGTTGCTGATACTGTGTACAATGTTTTCCTGGTTCTGCTCGTTTCACTTTGCATCAGTTCGTATAAGTCCAAGTTTTTTTCTGAAATCTGCTGGCTTATCATATCTTATTGGCACAATAATATTCCATTACATTCATATACCACAGATTGTTCAGCCATTCCCCAATTGATTGACATCCCCTCAATTTCCAATATTTTGCCACCATAAAAGGGCTTCTATAAATATTTTTGTACATGTAGGTCCTTTCTCTTTTGTCATCATCTCTTTGGGATACAGACTTAGTAGCAGCATTGCTGGATCAAAGGGTGTGCATAGTTTTATAGTCCTCTGGGCAAAGTTCCAAATTGCTCTCCAGAATGATTGGATCAGTTCTCAACTCCACCAACGGTGAGTTGGTGTCCCAATTTTCCCACATCCTCTCCAACATTTATCATTTTCCTTTTTTGTCATATTATCCAGTCTGATAGGTATGAGGTGGTACCTCAGAGTTGTTTCAATTTGCATTTCTCTAATCAGTAGAGATTTAGAGCATTTTTTCATATGCCTATAGATGGCTTTGATTTCTTCCTTTGAAAACTGCCTGTTCATGTACTTTGACCATTGATAAATTGGGGAATGGTTTGTATTCTTCTAAATTTGACTCGGTTCTCTTTATGTTTGAGAAATGAGGCTTTTATTAGACACTTGCTATAAATATTGTTTCCTAGCTTTCTGTTTTTCTTCTAATATTGGTTGTATATTTTTTATAAAACCTTTTTATTTTAATATAATCAAAATCATCCATTTTACTTTTGTAATGCTTTCTTTCTCATTTGGTCACGAATTCTTCCTTCCCTATAGAACTGACAGGTAGACTATTCCTTGCTCTTTTAGTTTGCTTATGGTGTCACCGTTTATGTTTAAGTCATGCACCCATTTTGACCTTATCTTGGTATATGGTATAAGATGTTAGTCTATACTAGTTCTCCATTTGGCTGATTCTGTTTTTTAACCAGTTGTTTTCTCTTTCCAAACTCTTGACTCTTTTTTCGTAATTCTCTTGTACCACTCTCATTTCTTTTCCCAATTTTTCTTCTACCTCTCATATGATTTTTAAGCTTCTTTTTGAGCTCTTCTATGAGTTTTTTCTGGACTTGAAACCACTTCCATTTTCTTCGGGGTTTTGCCCATAGGTGTTTTCACATTGTTGTCCTCTTCTGAATTGTGTCTTTATCTTCCCTGTCACCATAATAACTTTTTATGGTCAGGTTTTATTTTTGTTGTTTTTTGCTCATCTTTTTTGACCTTTTTCCTTTTCATTTAAATTTGAACTTTGCTCCTGGGCTGGAAAGGGCACTGTCTCAAGGTTCTTATGCCAGGGGCTGCAGGGGCTGTCTGTTAATCTGGTGTTGAACTGATGTTGCCCTGAGACCCATAAAGGACCTTCGTGTCTGGTGTTGCGCTGAGGGGTGGGGTGTGGGTGGCTGATGCTGCTGGAGGCTGGAGGGATCTGGCAGTTTTCCTGGTGCTGAACCAGGGTCCTAGTGCTGGTTTCTGGCATGTGCTGAATCCTGGTGGGATGTTTCTGCATTTCCCCAGGGCAACACTGAAGCATGTGAGGGTCTGGCCACTGAAGGATGTCTGTTTACCCAGGTTATGCTGAAGCACATGGCAGTTCTCATGATTGGAGTCTCCCAGTTCCCCTGGCTATGCTGAGGTGCATGGTAGGGGCCTAGTGTTGGCTTCGCCTGCTGCACTGCACTGGGGCTCAGGATTTACTGCTGGTTTGCTGAGGTGGGACTTGCTGCTGGTTTGCTGGGAAACTTCTTGTCCTGGAATGTGCCCCCTTTTTATCCAAGTGAGATAGACCTTTCCTGCTGATCTTCCATGTTTCTTGGGCTCAAAGATTGTTTTGCTGGTTCTGCTGTTCCAGAATTTGTTTTGGGGAACTATTTTATGGTTGTTTGGAGGTGAATACAGGAGAGTTATGGTGATTTACTACTTACGCTGCCATCCTAGCTCCCAGAAGTCCAAATGGAACTCACATTTTAATGGAGGAGACAACACACAGGTGGCTTCAGCTGTAAATCCCATTAAAAAGCCCATGGTTCTTAGGGTATACTGGCAAAGCAGATAGTAATGCCTCTTATTAAATGTCATTTCCACTGGCAAATTTGTGTCAGTTTCTGATGTTGAACTATTTGACAATGCCAAGAACTTTGGTGGCAAGAACTTTCGTTTTCTTGGTCTTCAGTAGCTGGAGCTGGAGCACCTACAGGAGCAAGTGTCAAGCTACATCCCCATAGGAATTGTTTCCCAGGATGTTGGCTGAAGGTACTGAGCTGGAAACATTGCTCTTCCCAAGGCTCTTGGGTTCAAATGTCCTGGTTTTTCTCTACTGGGGTCTGAGGGACAATGGTGGTCAAAGTAGTGGTTGTTTGATTAGCCTAACATATACTTCTCAATTCTCCCTCATGGTCTCTTGTTGCTTCAGCTAGGCCACCTTGCCTGTCCTGTGGGTGACACTTGATTTGGCAGCTGGTAGAGTTGGCTGGCCCCTTCTCTACAGCAGTTGCTTCCCTGGATGATAACTGTGAGGGATCTGGTTGAGTGTGGGTTGGGTTCAGATGGGGCTGACTGCTTTTCTGAAGACTTGTGGTTTCAGGGTCCTGTGCTGTCTTATCAAAGTCCGAAGACTTTTGTTGTCAAGGTTGTGACAGTAGTCTATGATACCATATGATGAACATTTATTAAGTATCTATGAGATGCTGTACTAAGTACTGGGAATGCAAATAAGAAAAAGAAAGACAGTGCTTGCCCTCAAGAAGCTTACAATCTAATGAGGGACACAGTATGCAAAAAGGTGACAATGGGCAGGAAAGTATCAGATGGTACCAGGCTGAAGGGAAATGATAAGATGATAATAGAGTCAAAATCAAGCAGAGCAACTGATGGCAAAGAAACGACTGGCATTAGGTGCCCTCCATAAAGACTGACTTTGGGAGGATTTATTTGCAGAGACAGAAACAACTAATGTATGAGTAGCAAAGCTGAAGTAATGTCCATGATGAAGAGTTTCTCCTGGATGGGGTATGAAGAAGATGGTGATGAAGTCAAACTAAACAGAGTAGCTGGTGGCAAACGAAGAAAAGTGGTTTAATTTGATTTGAAGGCCCATGCTCCTTCCTGTCACTCCCTCAAGGTGGCTTGCTTCTCCATCTAGAACAGTTTACTTGCCCTGTGTGTCGCAGTTTGTTGGTGGTTCACTTTCTCTCTTTTTTTGGAATTTTTGTCTATATCTTCTCTCTTTATGAGTCCCACTTTTAGTATGTTTGCTTAGGAGCTAGGCTTGTAAGTTGCTTCTCTCTCGACCTTTTCTTTTCTTTTTTTCTTTCACGTACTTTTTGTGACTCTTCCTTACTTTTTGACCCCTTCACCTACTACTTACATAAGACTTCAAAGTTAAGCAGGCTTAGTTTCTTCAAATTGGAAATACAAAGATTTTCCTTGATCCTTTCCCTCCCTAATCTCTATACAGAGAGGACTGACCAGTCAGTTTTTTCTATCTCTTTCACAGATGACACTTCTCCTCTAGCTAGTTCAGTGACATTGATTTCCTCTTTCCCTCTTCTGCCTGTCCTACTCTGAGATGTACTCCCTTTTTGTCACATAACTGAATAACTCATTTTTTCCTGTCTCTTACAGAGTGGGAAAGGGAAAGGTCAGATTGAGTCACCCCATTGAGGCAAATGGGTAAAAGCCATCACAGCTTGAAATATAAGTTGGCAGGTTATTTGAGTTGGTTATGCTCAGAAAAACTTTGTGTAGTTATAGTAGATTGTGTGAGAGCTTTTGGCTCTCCACTTTTATTTCAGAAGGCTTTACATCTTGTGGTAGTATTTCCATTTTCCTCCTGTTTTAATAGCTTACATTACTCTGTTGAGCACATTTCTTCTTATTTTGGACTTGTTGGAGTATGTTGAAAATAATGACTGTGTTATCTTGCCAATTTTCTCAAATCTCCAGTATTTAGAAATTTAGATGAAAGGATTTAGATTTCTCTATCATTATTAAGTTTTTGTTTTTAAATACTACATTGTTCGGGACAAGGTATATACAAAACTTGTTTAAAAGATCACTTTATCTTGACAGGGACATACATTTAAAAAGAAATATATGTATTCATAAAATGTATGCATTGGCACTAAAATTGCTGCTTTTATGAAAAGTAAAACATGTAAATTACTTGTCAAGAAAGGTCTTGGTAGAGAAAATTATCTAAGTTCCATTTAGTTAGTCAAGATTTCGTGGATGTAGTTTGATCCTTTGATTTGCCCAGAAGCATCATCTTTAACAAATTAGAATATCTTAGGAGAAATCTGAGGTTTTACAGTTTAAAGGACTCTTCAAGAATTTGTTCTATGTTCTGAGCTTGTGCTACTAAATTGAGAGTATGTGCAAAATCTATATCTGTAGCCTATTATTTCAGTTCTTCATTTCTAAAACTATTTCAGTCGTTATAGTGATGCTTTCTCTAGGAATTAGATTGTTTTTGTAATAATTTGGTTGGGTACACGTGTATTCATTAAAACAAAGAGTTTAAGTATTTCTTACACATTGAATATCCATATCCCTTTCAATATTTCCTACAAATTGTTTTTTTTACAGCTCTGGTTGAAGAAATCTATTTTGCACAGAGGGAACGTGATGAAGCTATCATATCTAGACTCCAGTTAGCCAATGAGGAAAGAGATGAAGCCATTTCACGAGCCAGGGAACTGGAGAAGTCTCTAAAAGAGTATGTACACATTTGTAAATAATGTAGATTATAAAAAGCACCTCATCCAGGCACCATGTGGTGGTCATATATTGTTAAATGAAATCTCATACCTATCTAATTCTTCTTCAATATCATTGATTCCTTGCCTGATAAACAACTGTAGTCAAGTCATTTTTCAGTCATGTCCAACTCTTCATGACCCTTTTTAAAGTTTTCATGGCAAAGAAATTGGAGTGGTTTGCTGTTTCCTTCTCCAGCTCATTTTACAAATGATGAACTGAGACAAAGAAGGTTAAGTGACTTACTCAGGGTCACACAGCTAGTAAGTGTCTGAGTCTGGATTTGAACTCCGAAAGATGAGTCTTGCTGACTTCAGGCCCAGCACTCTATTTACTATGCCACCTAGCTGCCCTGATAGGCAATTAGACAAAAGCAGTTTACTGTCTTTGGCACATTTGAGTTTCTTTCTTCTTCCTGGTTTTAGCATTAATTTCCTTACCTTATTTTCTTTTTGGACTACTTTTCTTCTTTTCATTAACTCTAGTAATATCTGTTTCTTAACTCTCAACTCAGCTTCTGTTTAGTCCTATACTCCTACTTTCCCTGTTACCTGCTCAGCAGTTTGATTGTTCCTGTTCACTTCCCAATGTATCTTACTCAGACATTTATATTTTAATATTTTTATCTTGGAAATTTATTTTTATTTATTTCATTAACTATCTCTAGATTACATGTAAAAACATTTTTATTTTTTTATTTTATTTTAATTTTTTTTTGAAGCCAAAAAACTTTATTAATGATTTCACCCAGGGATTAGAGGAACAATGACATACAGTATTGCTAGAATCTTTGTCTAATTTTATTGCCCCTACTGACTCTCATCTATTAGATTGTAGATAAGTGGCTAAGGTCAATAGCAGTGTTCTGTGTTTTTTTTGTTTTGTTTTGTTTTGTTTTGTTTTGCATAGACTTTAACCACAGGTAACCCTAGCTTCTAGTCGGTTGCCTTTTTCAGAGAGACTGGTTATAAAAATTCTTTCCCAATTTTCTACTTTCCTTCTAATCTTGGTTGCATTGGCTTTGTGCAAAAACTTTTCAATTTAATGTAATCAAAGTTATCCATTTTGTATTTCATAATGCTCTCTATCTCCTGTTTGGTCATGAATTTTTCTATTCTCCATAAATCTGAGAGGTAAACTATTCCTTGCTCTCCCATTTTGCTTACTATTCATTAACTATTTCCAGATTACAAAACATTTTTAAAAATTTATTTTATTCTTAATTCATGAAACAAAACAAGCACTTTTACAACATAGCACAACAAAAAAGATGATTGCATATGAAACTGCAAATCCACCATGCAAAACTTTTAAATATATGATGAAGTCAAAATGTAAATTTCTTTTTTTCTTTGTTTTCCTCACCCCAACCACCGTAGAGATGGCTACCATTAAACACAAATAGATATATATGTGTAAAATTATTCTATACCTACTTCTATTAATTAGTTCTTTCTCTGGATACAGATAGCATCTTTCTTATGTCCTTTTTTTTAAAATTTTTTTTTAATTTTTAATTTTTTTAAATTTTTAAATTTTTTTTCACATGTCCTTTATAGTCAATTTTTTAACAATCATTTTAAAAAATGATGAGTTACAAATTCTCTCCTTTCCTCCTCCCTCTCCTCACTCCTTGATTGGTATCAGTATTACATGTGAAGTTATATAAAACATTTCCATATGAACATATTTCAAAAAAACCACATGAAATTTAAAAATTAAAATAAAATAAGAAATGCTTCTGTTCCCATTCAGAGTTTCCATTCAGAGTTCATCAGTTCTCTCTCTTTAGGTTGATAGCATTTTTCAGCATGGGTCTTTTGGAATTATCTTAGATCATTGTTTTGATGAGAATAGCTACGTTTTTGCAGTTGATCATCATTATAATATTGCAGTTAATGTGTACAAAGTTTTATAGCCCTTTAGGTGTAGTTTCAAATTGTTCTCCAGAATGGCTGTACTAGTTCACAGTTGCACCAAAAGTGCATTAGTGTCCCAGTTTTTCCACATCTCCAACATTTGTCATTGGTTGGCAACAGTGGAGCCAAAAAGGAGTGGGCAGCTTTCAGAGATTTGGTATACAGCACTACATTCACTCATCTGGGCCAGAATACTCACAAACATCCAAAGTGGTTTGATGAAAATGATGGGGAAATTCAGAAGCTGCTAAGTAAAAAAATGAGAACTCCACGGGGTTTACCATCAGGATAGTTCATCTGCCTCTAAGAAGGCAGCATTTAACTTTATCAAAAGTAAAGTGCAAGCAAAGCTAAGAGAGATGCTGTATTGGCAGGCAAAATTCAGTTTTATGCTGATAGTAATAATCCAAAGTGTTTTTATGATGCCCTAAAAGGTATTTATGGGCCAAAGACCTATGGTGCATCTCGACTACTCAGTGCTAATGGAACCATATTGATTAGTGATAAGGAATGATCCTAGAGAGATGGACTGAACACTTCCATAGTGTTCTCAACAGATTGTCATCAATCAATGCTGAAGCCATTGACCACATACCTCAGGTTGAAGTCAGTCTCTCTCCAGGCAGGCTTCCACCTGAAGAAGAGGTTTTGAATGCCTTTTAGTTCCTCTTGTGTGGCAAAGTGCTTGTTGCTGATTCTATTCCAGCTGAGTTATACAAGGCCGGTAGTCCATTGCTCATATAAAAGCTGACTGAAATTTTCCAGGTTATATGACAAGAGGAGGTTATCCCTCAGGAATTCAGTTCTCCATTGTCCATCTCTGGAAGGGTAAAGGAAATAGATTATCCTGTGACAATCACAAGGAGGTCTCTCTCTTAGTCACTGCTAGCAAGATTCTTACGAGAGACCTTTTTAAAAGACTGATCCTTTACCCAGAAAATGATTATTTACCTAAGAACCAACGTACCTCAGAAAGGAGTGAGGAATGGTAATATGGTGTTTGCTGCCCAACAACTCAAGGAGAAATACCAGGAACAGAGCAAAGGTCTGCACACAATATTCATCAATCTGACCACGGCCTTTGATACTGTCACTTATGAGGGTTTTTGGAAAATTGTGGCAAAATTTGGTTGCCTGGAGAAGTTCATCAGTATTTTACATCAGTTTCATGACGGCATACTTGCACAGGTTCTGGATAATGGATAATGCTTTTGCACTTTCCCACTCATTAATGGAGTGAAGCAAGGTTGTGTTCCTGCTCCCATACTTTTTAGCATGGTGTTTTTGTTTGTTTGTTTGTTTGTTTGTTTTAAGGCAATTGGGGTTAAGTGACTTGCCCAGGGTCACACAGCTAGTAAGTGTCAAGTGTTTGGTCTGAGGCCGGGTTTGAACTCAGGTCTTCCTGACTTCAGGGCCAGTGCTGTATCCACTGCGCCAACCTAGCTGCCCCTAGCATGGTATTTTCAATAACATAAGATGCCTTCAATGAGGATGAAAATGGCATCAAGGTCAGCTACCACAGTAATGGTAAATTATTTAACTTGGAAAGGCTACAGGCCAAGACTAAAAGTACAGGGAGAGTTGGTGCATGATTTTTTTGTTTGTGGATGATTGGGCGCTCAATGCAACCTCTGAGACTGAGATGCAACAAAGTATGGATCAGTTCTCTTCTACTTGTTCTAATTTTGGCCTAACACCAAGAAAACACAGGTTCTCCACCCACTAACACTATACCATCCATACATGGAACTATCAGTTACAGCAAATGGAGAAGTTTTGAATGCTGTGGACAAGTTCACAGACCTTGGCAGTATACTTTTACAAGGATGTACACATTGATAATGAGGTTGACGTACACATTGCCCAGAGATAGCTTAGTGGTTGAGAGGCTCTGAAAGAAAATGTGAGAGAGAAGAGATATTAGACTGCCTACCAAATTGAAGATCTACAGTGCCATTGTGCTGACCTCATTGTTATGTGCCTATGAAATATAGCAGTGTGAAATATACCAGTATACCAGTGACATGCTAGGAAACTGAATCATTTCCATTTGAATTGTCTTAGGAAAATTCTTAAGGTCATCTGGCAAGATAAGGTACACTGAGATCCTTTCTTGAGCTAAACTGCCAAGTATTCAAACTCTTTTGCAGACAGCACAGTGCCAATGGGCTGGCCACATTGTTAGAATTCCCAATGTTTGTCTAAAAGACTATTGTACTAACTCACAGAAGGCATTTGCTCACATGGAAGTCAGAAGAAGTGATATAGTGATACTCTCAAGCACTCTCTGAAGAGCTTTGGAATCAATTGTGTGACATGGGAGGAAGGACTGCCTAGAATGGTGTGCCCACATCAAAGAAGGTACAGTGCTCTGTGAGCAAAGCAAACATGGAATGTGCAAATTTAGAGACATCTCCATTCCAAATGTTCATGTGGACTATCTGTGCTCGACCTGTGTTAGAGCCTTCAGAGCTAGTATTGGTCTGATCAGTCACAGTCAGACACACTGTACCTTGAAGACAACATGGTGATGTCATTTTGGTCCTCTTCAACAGTGAAAGATAAAACCAACCCGTTTATCCTTCAGTCTTTTCCAGTATGGCTTTTTTTTCCTACCACTTACTGAAACTGCTCTTGATATTTTTTATCTACCCATACTCTTCATCCTCCTCTTCCTTTCTGCAGCATGTGATACTGTTGATTCTGCCCTGTTCCTTGATCTTTTCTCCTTCCTTGACTTCTGTGATATTGGTCTGTACTATTTCTTCTACTTTACTAATTGATCTTTATTTTCCAGCCCCCTAAATGTGAACACCTTTGTAGCTTACTCTTTTCTCTATTACATTCTCTCTGTTAGCAATCTCACATTCTTTCAGTTTTAATTATTACTTTACTGAAGATGATTTGCCATTCTTCTACTCAACTAAGTTATTCTTGACTTTTCCTTTTCTCTTACCCTCCAAATATAATCAATTGATAAATCTTGTTGATTGTACCTCAGAAAAAAATCTCTTGGCTCCATCCAGTCCTTTTTCCTTCT